GTGGTTTGAAAAAATGAGAAAAATCATAGTTTTGAGAATCATGACTCAACAACTGAAAAATTATGTCGTGTGTTTGGAAATATAAAAAAATTTAAAAAATATTATGAAAAAATCATACAATCATTATTAAACTATCATCCAAATAATAGTTATTTCTGTATTTTGACTCGCTCTAATCCCATTTGCTTAAATTAATTTATCTTAAAAGTTAACTTCAAGATAAATTTTAGTTAATTATGTTATAAATTAATTTTATTATGAAAATAATAAAACATTGTGTTTTTTATCATTTAGATTACTTTAAAAAAATAATTTTATTAATAAATAAAATATAAATTATTAAATGTTTTAGTGAAAGATAGTACTTTACTCGTATTGTACAAATTATTTTTAAAATTAATATATTTCTTACGTTTGAGTTAATATTTAAGAAAATTCAAATATTTATATTTGATTTATATCTTGAGGTGTCTTCTATGCATCTTAAAGCTCATACGCATATAACAAAATTCATATTCTTAAAGTATGAATTTTAAATTTAAAAAAAAATAAGAAAATTAAATATGGAGAAAAAGAGGGAGGGAAAAACAGTCATATTATTTGACACTTACATGAATTCCTGGATATTTTTTAAAATTTTAAATATTTTTTAAATAATAATATATTACCTGCCACATGTAACGCTAATTAAATTCCTTTTTCTGGAAAGACAAACAAAAAAATGGAGTTATTTATATTTTTGGCCATTAAACAAATAATTGTGGTTAGGTTGGAAACGTAGTTGTCTTTGTGGAAAAAGAAAATAATAATAATAATAATATAAAGATTAAAGAAAAAAAGAGGGGTCCAAAAGAGCTTTCACGTTGATCTCCAGCCACTTTGGTCCGTGAGTTGATGTTTTTAATGTTGAAATTTATAATAAAGCGACTCGTGGCATGTCGGAAGCCAGGATACAAATTTCATTTTTTTAATTTCATCATATTATTATCGACTAATCTCTTCACCATTTTTTTTTTTTTCTTAATCAATTTTTGTATTTCAATTTTTCAATTAAATCGAGTTGTTTGTTTTGAAGTTTGAAAGAGAAACCGAAAAAGTGAACAATACTATAATAAAAATTCAAACATAAAATTTTATCATTACTATTATTACTGTTATTATCGTTACCAATATTATTATTATTTACGTTACTAATATTGTTATCATTATTACTGTCATTATCACTATCATTATTATCAGTACTATCAATTTGTTATCATTATTATCAGGGTTATTGTTATCTACTACTAATATGTCAAGACTATAATTATTTATTTATTTTTTAATATTTATTCATTAATAAGAATATCATAACTATTATCATAGTCATCTTTATTATTAGTGCTACTATCTCTATTATTATTACAATTGTAGCACTACCACCACTACTATTATTACTATTCTTTCTTGTGCATTTCACCGGTATCATCACTAATACCACAATAACTATTATCAATGTGACCACAATTATTGTTACTACCACCACCATTATTGTCATATCATCCTTACTATTTTATGGTTATTAGTATTATTGTAATGTAATCATTACTGTTATTATTGTTGATCCAATGACTACTTATATTATGGTTATTATTACTATAACTATACTATGGTCATCGCCACTACTATAGTCTCTGTTATCGCTACCATTCTCATTATTAATGTGTTATTGCTCCGCTGCCTCTACCTACACCACCATCATTGTTACCGCTACATTACTATCGTCTTTACAATTGTTGTTATCATTATTGTTACTAAGATAAAAATTAGTCAGGTTTAAAACAATTTTCATAAGATTCAAAATCAATCCATCTATGAAATAAGAAGATTTATACTCACGTCAGATCATAAAACCAACCTAAATTTTTTTGATTATCTAATTTCTATTAAAATTATAATATATAATATAGCATATATATCGTTTATATTTTAGATATATATACTTTATAATATTTAATTAAAATTAAAACATAAATAATATTTTATATATATATATATATATATTTGTCGGTTCATGTATTGTTTGCCTTCAAAGTCTTAATCCAACCCATTGCAATATGTTAAAATAAAAAAACTGACCCCAATCGACTTACATACATTCCGTTAAAAATTAGGTCAGTTCAAGACCATCAATTGCTATCCATAATTACCATTGTTGCTTGATCTGTCACCCTCCACCTTTATAAATAGAAATTTTATCACTACCATCATAAATACGAAATAAGAAAACAATAATATGATTTTTATTTTGAACCATTCTATCTTACTCAATTATCTCAAATATATGATAAGGTTAAATCTTATCTTATTTTATGCAACTACCTGATCCTATCCATTACCCCATGTAGCAAAGAAAGGGATAGTGTCTAAAATTCTTTACCATGCTTTTTAGTCAGTATTGTTTTAATACAAATATTTAACATCTAAAATTAATGTTTGTAATTAACACTATTAAATTCAAAATCTATAATATTCTTGTTTTTCTAATAAACTTAATCGGACAGTTTAAGCGAACTACATTTTTCCTAAATGCAAATGGTAATTTTTTCAAATGAACAATTTATTCATCAGTACCATCTTTAATTTTCAAACACCTTCCCAGTTGTTTGAGAATTTCTGGTGAAACAAACGGGGGACCTGCGAACGAGGGACAGGGACCTCCTATTAGTAGTTCAATTCGGCAGAGACTTGAAACATCTTTTCTAGATCTAATTTCTAAATGCAGCCCTAGTTTAGAAAATACAGTCAATATCAACTTCCCCATCAAGCATATAACAAGGAATTACAAGCATTCATCAGTTAGATGTCAAATCTCCATGAAAGTACCATTTTTTTTATTTCTGCTCTTTGTAAGCTCATACTATTTTCTTTTGCTAGAATCCATTTTCCCAGAAGCCATTTGGGGTTAGAGGATCCAAAAAGCAGATAACAATGCTCGAGTACATATGAATAGTACCGGCAACTATTAATTAATTTCTTTTGCTAGAATCCATTTTCCCAGAAGCCATTTGGGGTTGGAGGATCCAAAAAGCAGATAACAATGCTTGATTACATATGAATAGTACCGGCAACTATTAATTAATTAGAACATTGAATACATGAGGAATTGTTTGAAATCCAAGAAACAGCAAATTCAGAAAGTATGTCTCTAAATTACAGAATGGAACAATAGTTGAAAGGATCATCACCGACGACATACCAGACATCGCATCTCTGACATGTCTTTGGAGTATAAATAATCAGATCCTTCTTCTCATCTTTCTTCTCTTCCTTGGAAGCCGCTATACTCACAAAGGTGGCAGTTTTTCTGAATTTCCTTACCTTCTTAATGATTGCCACTGGATCAGCCTCTCCAATCACAGTCACGGTATTTTTTGATGGGTCAAGGACAATCGAGGTTATCCCTTCTATTGTTGCAATTAATTTCATCACCTTCTGTCTGCACTTGGAGCACAGCAGTTCCACTGACAGCACTGTTTTCTGCACCAGCAAGAAAAGAGTCAGATTCCCTGGTATTTTTATCTCAGCCCAGCGCCTATGCCATTCAAGTAAATAGCAGAAAGTACTGCAGAGTGTCAGTCCAGAGAGAGTAAATATCCAACATCCATAAACTACCACATAAAGAACATAATGAAGCAGTATAGTTGTCAGGGAAGAGATGCGACCTTTGACATTGTTATGATGACAAACTGAACCAGACAAAGCTTATAAAAAAATGGGGATGGATCTAGAATCAATATATACATAAAAAACTATTATCTCTCAAATGACATTTGATTATGTATGGGAAGGATTGGATACTCATTTTTCTGTCAAGTAAAAGTTTGGTTCATGACTAAATGGAGTGACAGTGAGTTGGTGAAAAGTAAATGCCAGTCAGAAGGTTCTTGACAGGACCACCTACGGGCCATTGAGCATTCAATAATGTAATTCATCCATGGCCAATATAAAAACATGGCTGGAGTATGTATCTGTTTAACTTTGATAAAAATTTATCTCTGAGACAGTAACATCATTAACTCCCGTTTATTCTGAATTGGTGTGCTAGTTCAAAGTTTCACATACCTTACAATCAAACAGAAGAAATGAATTCAAACATTTAGCAGGGCCTCAGCCAACACATGTCAACTTCAACCTCTACCTATTCCAAAAAATTTTCAATGTGTAAATATAAGTACCTACCCCCTTTGTTTTGGCAAACTGGCATATAGAATGCAGTAAATGCCATGAAATTATAGTGGTTATGGGGGTAAGCTAAATGTGCAGAAATTGCCCGGGTTCTCCAATTATTTAAGCCCTCTGTTATTGCCACAACTTCCACGAAAGAGTTCTAAAAAGAATTTTTCATTTGAGAGAGACAGAGACTGAACCTTTAACAATTCAGGATCACCTTCATGAGAGGTTGATTAAATAGCTCAATCACATATAGAGAGCCTTCACTGATGACCAAAGATCTGAGAGAAAGTCTCTAGCACAAGGTTCACTGATTCAGTGTCATCTTCTCTGAATAAGCATATATGTTAATGATATCAGAGATTTAGAATCCTAAACTTCCTACATTAAAAAAAATTCAAAATACGAACATGCTTAGTTATTTGCTCTTCCTTACAAGTTAACTGAAAGAAGTTAAGAAAAGAAAAATGTATTACATGTTATGGTCATCTAATCAAAACATGAAAAGATATTAAAATGAAAATATGTAATTTGAGATTCATCATTTAGATTAAAATGCCCTAAATATAAACCTGAGCAGAAAAATGTACCATAAGAAAGCAGGTATAAGGACAGAGATCTTTATCAGACTACCAAAGTTAGTCTTCCGAAAACCTCAACTTTGATAAGAGATGTCATGACGTTTATTCAAATCCTAAACATCGTGCAGAAGTCAAAATCCAGCTGTATAAATTAATTAACTTATGCGGGTTTAAGAGAAAAGGACACTGCAAGTTGTTAGCATATCACTTTCCTTCCAACACCTTAAAGTTTTTTGTTATCGCTTTCTTGTCTCTCTCATTATGCCCCCATTTTTCTTTTTTGAAATAAAAACAAAGTATTATTATGCACAAGATACTAAAGGGGTACCATCCATATACAGAATAGTTACAAATCTATCAATTGGTTGATGATCGCACCCATATCATCAAGATCTTTAATATGATGACCCAACAAGATAGATCCAAAAGTGTGTATCCATATATCCTTAATGTTATCAAAGTTAGTCTCTACTCCCTCAAAAACTCTACCATTTCTTTCTTTCTAAATCACCCAAAAAATAGTAAGTGGAATAAGAAATAAATGTCTCCCCTTTTCTTTACACAATCCCTCCCAAGCCCAAAGTTCATTACTTACACTACTCGCCATAACCCAATCCACCCCAATAAGCCTCAGAACAGCAGGCCAAATGTTGTAAGTGACAGGGCAGCCCAATAACAAGAGGAAACAGGTCTCCTCATCAGCTTTGCATAAGAAGCACCTGTTAATCAGCACATTCCCTTTTCTTCTAAGTATGTCAATTGTTAAAATCCTCTCGTTAGCTGCTTCCCAAGCAAAAAAAAACCGATTCTGGGTGGTGCTTTAGATTTCCATATTCGTATGAAAGGGGCAGAATGAGTGCTGTTGTTCTCTCTTAGTAATGAATTCATAGTATGATCTAACCAAGAAGCCCCTCTTTTTGTCTAACTTCCAAATTCTTTTAGGATAACCATTAAAACTAACTAGGCACCTGCATATATTACCAAATGCACCCAATAATAAAAGTAGCATAGAGGACAAATTAAGACAATATGTCTCCTTAAAATATTATAAGTTTAACCTAGATATCACATCTACAGTGTCTTTGACATCACATTTAGAATTCAGTAGCGAGGCGTCATATGTACTTGTTCCTTAAGCATCACAATTAAGATTTGATTGCACAGAATTATACTGAATGTAGCTCTATCCAGTATGGAATAAATTACAAAGTATTCACTCAGGAACCCAGCCACCTATCCAGATTGCAGAAAATTCACAGGAACAGGGCAATCATTTCCCTTCTGTTAAGTCCAGTGTTATATCCATTACACTAATTCGGATGATTAGTTAACTAATTAGTTAACTAATTAGCTTAATAACTTATTTAGTTCCTGGTGTTCATAGAAATTAGCTGTGATAGTTGTATTCTACTTTGCTGTTATTTTGGTCTGGAATTCCAGTAACATAGAAGGTTAGTTGAGGGGAGAATTGGAAGAATTCAAGTATGACTCTTGTACTCGAAAACTCCCTTCTGTGGATCAGAGATTCCTCTTTGATTCTCTCCAAATTTTCACAAAAATATCTCTAATTCTTCTCCTTCTAAATATCTTCTATTATTCTGATATTCTAACATTCCTGTCCTAATCTCCATTGCCAAATTAAATTAATCTTCATGGGCAAGCCTGATCAAATTAGAAACAGAAACTCTGAAGAGACACTTAAAAGAACAGAAACAATACCTTGAAATCACTAAAATCCATTCTATCCATGTGATTGCAACAAATAGAAGATCTGAAAGAAATAAAAGTCCTGATCAATTTAGAAAACTTCAACCTTTCTCTAAATCCCATGGTTGGAAAAAATAACCAACCTCTGTTTACGAAGCTCTGAATTATAAAAAGAACAGACAATCTTGGAACATTTGAAAAAAATAATAATAATTTGGTAAACTTTGTGATTGGTCATTTATCTGGAGCAAAAATACCAGAGACTCAACTAGCACTCGTTATGGAATTCTGTACAGAGGATGAAGTCAACAACTTTAAAATGGTTGCTTAAGTTCATCCTTTTACTAAATTTTTTCTTTTTCTTGAAACCATCCTTGTACTGAATATTGTTCTGACCAATCTCAAAATCTTGAGCAATCTCAAAAAATTGTTTTCAGCTTCTTCTTGTTCTTCCACTAGTTCCTAAGAACTTAAGAGCATCCATTATTGCAATATGCTCTTGTGTTATCATGATGTTCAACGGAAATTATCCATGCAACTGGAAGGTGTTGGACAGCCTCAGCAATGTGCCTAGCATCTGGAAAGTATTCCTTAATATTGGGAAAGCTTTTAGAAATTCCTCCCTCGATCATTGTGCTTTTCATGGCATCTATTTCTGCATTTACAGTCAGTAAAGAACTCTTGGTCTCTTCAAATTAAGTTCTGAGTTCAACTCAACATTAGTCGAAAAAATTCAAGTTGTCTTCAGGAGAAGTATAGAGAGAATATTGAAGTGAAAACAAAGAGAGTGTATCAACTATCAAGTCCATTGAAACTGACAAAACAAGAGATCTGCAAGAATCTAAGCCAGTTTGGGCAACACAAATTGGAAAAACAAGGTCAATTAAGCTGGTTAAAGCAGATCACAGATAAGTGAGTTCCACCGCCGGTGGGTCACACGAGGTCAACAAGCCAGCCTTTAGTCCACGTACACAATCGAGGTTCCGATGGAAAACTTGTCAAAAGATGGTGGTTCCAATCGATTTTGTGGCTAGGAAGGCAAAGAACTGGTTTAAGATTGCGGCAGTTCACATTTCAGGTAACAAGTGGTTTTGATTCCTGATGATGTTTTGCAGCTAGGGCTCCATGGATGGGAGTTGAAACTGTTTGAGCTTTGGCAGCACCAATGATTCACTTCTTGGAGGTTGCCAAAGCGCCCTAAATGTGGCTAACAGTTGTTGGCTTTTGAATTTTCAACCCTATGGTTTGGGCACTTGGGTTTTAAGGACTTGAGATGTGGTACTAATTAGAAATTTCAGCTGTCATACCAAATTGATGTAGAATATATTATGAATAACAAGCCTCCTTGGAGATTTAATGGTTACATCTAGATATTAGAACTAAGGTTTCTTGAACATTTTAGTTAAGAATCGAGTAACTAGGCACCACATCTAAAGTACATTTGGAAAAAATGAATTGTTTTCATAAAGTTCACCTTGATATCTTGGTTTTCCGATACTATAAATGCTTCCATTAAGATATGAACCAAACAAATGGACCAACTTCTCTTTTAAACTTATCATAAGTTGTCCACATTCCATCAATTTAATAAAATTCAAAACATATTATTTTAATTAAACATACATTGCATGCTTGAACTAAATATTAAGCTGTCAGATTTTCGGATAAATTCCTCGAAAAATAATTCATTTGTTCCCAACATACTGCTACTGTCCCTTAACAATCATATACTTTTATTCTGTTACACAATCATTAAAAAAAAAAAGAAGAATTAGTTGGCTGAGAAAATTCTTAAATGCAGCACTACTTGTTGTGATAGAAATTACATAATCAAATTAGAACCACAAACTCTAATGAAAAACTTAAAACTTAAAGAGTTTTAGACAGTGTAATCTTGGATGCAAAAGTAGCAATGCAATCAAAATGCATGGTGAATTCCCTTCCATTATGGCCATCTCAAGGATAGGACACACAACACCAATGAGAAGCAAATATTAAAGTGAAAATTAAAAATTGATTATAAACAAACAGAACAAAATATGAGTGAATGTAAAAGTTGTCTGCAAAAAAGTGAAATAAATTATCTTAATTAAGCCTTGAGAATGAGCTTCTACCTGACATGAAAGAATGAATAACTTGAAGGCTTGCACAAAAGTGAAACAAATTATCTTAAATGCCAAGAGTCAAGTGAGAGTTTCTAACTATAGCAGAAGAATAACTTGAAGGCTTTTTTGAGATAGATCTAGAGACACTGATGGTTTATAAAGAATAATACATATAGATCCAACAGTGTTCTATGAGAATTGGATTCCTCAGTCTCATCTGACCAACTCAATTTAAATGGCAATGTGTACAATAAGCATTAAAATTGAACAGAATATTACGATAAAAGTATCCTGGATGGAACCGAATGAAAAATTTATAAACCACATATACGAAGAAAAAATAATGTTTATGTGGACAATAGGAAGCAAATACCAGTAATGATTTTATTTATATAATAGAAGTAATTTTATTAACCTCAAAAGCAAAGGGTAAAATCTGAGCCGAAGATGAATGACTGAAATTTACACTCCACAACTATTACAAAAGAAAGTGAAAAGAAAAATACTATTACACTTACCCTCTAAAATCTTCAGTAGTACAAGTGTCCTCCAGCGACAGTAATATATATCAATTTGCACTCTCATAAGCACTCATTCTCTCAGTTTTCTCTCCTTCATGCTCGGTTTGTATCATCTGTGTGTAATTGGTAACTATCTTCTTATCTAATTCATAATATTCCTCCATTTTCTTCAAAGGCTTCAAATCCAGATCAACGAAATGCACCTACAAAATTTAACTAAATGTCAGGGGGAAAACTTCCCGAGATGAATTTGTCTTTGATGGAAAATATAGTGACAATTCCAAAATGGGGAATAGTTTCACAAACATCACAACCCAACTCAATTATTAAACTAGAGTATAAGTATGAAACATCATAATGTTAAAATGAGATAATGTCACAGAACGAATGGGATATCGTTAAAGACTTTAGAAGATTAAATATTCTCTTCCAACAATAAAATTTTTATAAAATTTTTCTCTCATTTTCTTCAGTGGAAAATTTAAATGACAAGATAGAACAGGTATATTAAAATCCAAGCACGTAACAGAAATATGACACCAATTTTGCAAATTAGAACTAAAATGAAATATATAAAGGGCTCTTTACCTTGAAATCAAAACTTTGATTGGTCGACTCTAAGTACACATTACTAAATGAAGATCCTGTATCTCCATCTTCCCTCTGTTTAAAACTGATCATCAAACTACAATCCTTTGCAGTTGCAGCTACCAAATAATCCTTTAAAATCTTCAAGCTTTCATTCACAGGAATTTGATGCAATGATGTATGCTGCAGAGGTATTCTATTTATATCCATTTGTTTACATATCATGCAAGGTTGAGAAATTATGTTATAATATGCATGAATAGCGCCTTCAATATCAAAATCGTCAAGCTTTTGAACTTCAAGAAGTCGATCTAGCACCCCAGATTTATAGACTGCCTCAACAACAAGCTGTATAAAACTCATTGCACGCAGACCATCATCTGCCTGAATAATACCTTTTAGTACATCTTCAAATGCTTGTCCAATTGCAAAGCTGGTACGGTTTGCAACACCACCCAAGTCACCAAAGACAAGGGAACCATTCAAGAAAACACGAAAGTTGTTCTGAGGGGTGGAATAGAGACCTTTTACAGCTTTACATATTCTGTCCTTAGATCCTGAAAATAAATCTAGGGGATCGTATTCACTTAATTCTAAGACCTGCAACAGGGGTTGGATAAGTCAGCTTCAAAGTAAATAAGGAAATGGTCTTATTACCTATTTAGGTGTAAGTGCTCAGTGATGCCAACAATAATAGAAATTACTGTGAACAAATATAAAAGGAGAATGCTGTTGTGGAGTACATATCAAATTAGTTCCTTGATAAGAATATTGAAGAGGAAGGAAAAAGAACCTGTTTGTGTTGCAACTTCAGGAATTGGTGCATTCTAAAACGCGATACATTTCTTTTAATGCTATTTTCCTCAGCAATGAATTTCGAAGAAGGAAGAAATCCACACTTGGGCTGCTTTGGGGGAAAAATAGAGAAGAAAGTATCATCAAGAACATTTTCAAAATTAGATGGAATAGATCTCAACTTCATAGCTAAACAAGAAGGTAATATTATAAAGAAAATAAAAGGAAAAGCAATAACTGAGGCACCTTTATTTCAACACATAAGCACTGTTCATCTTTGCGAATACCTGACACAAAAATTAAAGTAAGACTATGTAAGATCCATACTAAAATCCGTTATGTAAGACTTTGATAACTTCTGTTGCTACTCTGTTATGTCACTTTTTTAATCAGTTCTGTTGCTACTGCAAATGGATACTTAAAGTTCTTAATGACTTATTACACTAGCTAATTGTTGAGAGTAAAAATTAATGGAAAGGACTTATTTGTCTATTTTTGCATATTTTCTTCATGTCAAGCATACAGCCATTAATTTTTCTAGATCAAAAAAGCTTGTAACTAATAACACAGTAAATTTTATCTGTAGCAGAGAACAACATAGAACAAACATATTTGCGCTGTCGGATCCCATATTAATCAAACACATATCAGTTTCTATTTAGTTTTTTCTGTCACGTACAGTTGAATGCTATTCTACATTTCCACCAAACACTACCTTAGTATCTCAGTGATTTCAACTGCAATATAAGCAATGCCATTTCCTGATGAATAACTTTTTCCAAATACGGTGATTACCATGAGGAAAAATTGAATGATCATGTATCAGAAGCACAGAATCACGAAGTGTGTCAACCCTGGCTGCGTCAACTCGCCAAGCAGGACGCTGACATATCACATTCTTTTCAACAGATTCAAGGAATTCCCTGGATGTTCGAATATGCAGCTGCCAAGTTCAAACAAAATCAGGATCTGAAGAAAATAAACATGAATACCTCATTAGTTCCAAACATAAGCCTCTTGAGAAACTAATTCTTGCAAAATTTAATAGTGAAAATATTACAAAATCTAGATCATCACATGAAAACTATAGCATTATGAGATTAATGCAGTTTCATTAGTGTTGGCCAAAGGGATAACTACAGGATTCACAGTAACCACAATAGTAAATATAAAGAAAACATAATGTTGACATAAAAGACTAGAACAACTTCCACACTGTAAAAAGAAAAACATTCAATATTCAAATCCTCATTTCAGTCAAATTTTAGCTAATGATCAAGCATGTGAGGCAAGGCTGCTTATTCAATGGGATCTCTATATCTTAATGACTTAATCCCTTCCAAAAAAGACAATTACTTCAACTGAACAAAAAACATCCATCCCTTAGGCTAGGTTTGGAATAAATGAACTATTTTGATTGAATTCACGTGTGTTTGAGAGTGGCTCAAGAAGAGATATTAGTGGTTTTTTTAAAAAGTGAAGTAGTAAAAGGTAGACTAGAGTGAAATAAGGGTTTTAACAAAATTTCGTTTGGGAATTAATTGTAAGAGAGAGATTAAAACAGGTTTTGAAACTCTTGTTTGGTTAAAAAAAAAGTAAAAAATAAGCATTTTACTAATATAAAAAAAAATACCCTTACGTAATTGTTATGTTATAGATGAAGGGAGAACATTTAAAAATTTTAACTAAAAAATACTTAATAAAACTAACTCTGGAACCACAATTTGAGGCGGTAAGTAAATGGACCTTAGAGGAGTTCCAATACCCCCTCCTTTACTCTACTCTACTCTTTTGAAAAATTCTCATGAATGAGTTTTACAAATCTCTAATCTTGCTCTTCTCCTTCAAATATTACACATTAGTATTTTCACATTAGTATTTTCACAATCAATACAAGAAATGATGAAGCTCCTTTGTTCCAAAGTTTCGCTCAGAAACTTGAAAAACGAAATAACCAGAACGGTCAGAAACGAAAGAAATCAAAGAAAAGGAAAAGAAACACACCCCGGCATCAACATATTTGGGACCTAACAAAGGGCTCATCACATGCTTGACGTACAAATGATCAACGATTTCTTTGCTTGAAGACGATATAAGCTCGTCATGATCTCTCCATAGAAGCTTCTCGTGAATTGTTAAAACTGACGCAGCATTCACGCGCTGTTGCTCCCCCTTCCTCGGTGCCTTCTGTAACCTTATCACTTTCCCAACCTTATGACTCAAGCAGTTCCACATTTTCTAATTAACATATTTATTACGAACAAGTACACAAAAATATAGTACAACTTCGAACAAGAAACTTAATGATAAGTTCTTGAAGCGCTTGGGAGAGCAAATAAAGCATAAAACGAAAGGAGACACAAAAGTTTGAGACAATCCGGTGTAGGGAAGAACAAGATTACGAACAAGAAACTAAATGATAAGTTTATGAATCGCTTGGGAGAGCAAATAAAGCATAAAACGAATGGACATACAAAAGTTGGAGACAATCCGGCGTAGGCAAGAACAAGATTAGCAGCTCCTTCGCCTCTGTAAATCCAATCAGCTGCGTCCTTTCGCTCCAAAATCATCTCCATTTCAGAAATGTGTCTGCACTGAGATTCCTCTCAGTAAGGGAACACAAACACAAGTGCGGAGAGATGAAATGTATACATACCTGGTGAGTAAGAAGATTTACGACCTATTAGAAAAAGCCTAAATCATCAAAACTACATGTCGAATCAAAAGGCGAAAAAGATGCTTTTGATTCAGTGGAAAACCAGTGGACTTCAGTTGAAAATGAAGATCGATTGAGCAGTATAAAGCGCGAGAATAACCAGGGACTTGAAATTCACGCAGCTTGACCTTCAGTTATTTAATTGAGTAGAAAACGAATTTGAAAAGTTTAGGCTGCGGTGGGGCATTAGTAGAGGAAAGAAACGGCGGAGCAAGCCAAGAAAGTCCCTTTATGCTGCGAAAGCTAAAAACGGCGCCGTTCTGGACATTGAGATTGATGCCTCCTTAAAACGCTAGATACGATAGATAAGCATTAAAAATAAATAAAGAAATAAAATAATTTAAAAAAAAACAAAAACTAAATTTGTGGAACGTTTTAAAAGATTCTATATACACTCAATTCTTTTGGCACTTTATTCAATTCATGCGTTTTTTCTAATAAACTAAGTCCAAATGTATAAATAAATTTATTTGAGTATTTTAATTCTTTATATTTTGCAATTTAATTCGATATTTAAGATATATTTTTAAGAATCAAATTCTTTATATCTTGTAGTTGAATATTTATATTTAATGCATATTTTTATAATTTTGAGATTTTGAACAAAATTTTAAAAGATTGGAAGCTTATTTATTTGATTTCATTAAATCTTGAAGAATACAAATTTCTTAAACATTTGAAAAGTTCACTCACTTAGTTATGGAAAATAAATTTTAATTGAAAATAAAAAAAAATAGTCAATGATAAAAAAACTTTATAAGTAATATTTTAAATAGTTTAAAAATTAATGCTATATGCATATTTTAATAAAAAAAACATGTTTGAAAATTTTATTTTGCATATTTTAATTGTTTACGAAATATAATATTGACCGGGGTTTAATCCTCGCTTATGACATTATCTTTCCCTCTTGAATGTGAGTATACACTTATGCATGTTCTTAATTTTAATTTAAGTCCATACATACATGCATACATAGCCTATTAAAACCAAATGATGATAAAACTTGAAATATATATATATATATATATATAATACAATCAAAAGCAGTGAAAGATCAGTATCTTATATACGAATATAAAAAGACGAAACTATATATATATATATATATATATGAAGTACAAAGAGAATGGAAGGAGTGGAGCGTTGAATGATGATATCTGGCGTTGAAGGAGTAGACGAAAATGAAGAGAAATTGGGCTGAAACTCTGTAAAGAGAAAACCGTAAGGCGTGTTGATGATAAAGATAAAGATTATGTTGGAAAGGAAGAAGAAGAAGAAGAAGAAAGTTGAACAGAAGGAATTCTGCTGAAATGGGGTTTACTGACAAGGTTGGGCTAATTATACCCAATGAATTGAGCTGGTCTCCTTTTCCTTTGTAAAAGGCAAACTCATACAAATACTTGGACATTTGTAATCATATATCTTAGTCCATAAATAACAATAATAATGATAAATGTTTTGAAAGTTTTTATTAAACCCACATGGCAGGTAGTGCGTGCATGTATTCAATCTTACTTATTATGAAAATATAAGAGTGAGTGGGGAGACGTGTCTCTTACAGCACCAGACAAGAGGCGGTAACCCCAATTTCAAGACACTAATTTCTTGGCCGTACACGTGTCTCTCACTAAATACCGATTATATTATATTTTACATATATGTATGTTGCAAGCATCGAGTGATGATTATAAATATTAAACCCATATGATTACCACACCACAAGAAAATGCATGCCATTCGGTTTCCTAATTGGCTTTGTTTGTTTCTAGTTGGTGGCTTAACATTACTGGTAATTCAATTATGGAGGCGGCCGCGGCGGCATTCAACGAAGGGGATTCCTCCAGGAAGTCTGGGGTTGCCGTTGATCGGAGAAACTCTTCAGTTCATGGCTGCAATTAGAGGTGGTGAAGGCTTCTACCAGTTCGTACAAGCTCGCCGTCTCAGGTCTATATATACATGTGTATTTCGTAGTTATAATCACGGTTATTAGTTAAAAGTAATAAATCAATTGTTTTTTAATTTTTTTTAAGATTTAATATTTTCAAATGAACTTCTTGTATGTTATCGTTAGAAAAAAAAGTCAAGTAATTTTAGCAATTTATCATATCGAATTATTATGCTTGTTTAAAATATAAATTAAGTTAATAATTTAATTGTAATTATGTGAAAACTTTAAATACTCTGTTGTAGTTGCTTTCTCGAATTTTATGATGTTAAATAAAATATTATACGTATAGATATGGGAAGTGCTTCAAGACCAACATATTTGGGGAGACTCAAGTGTTTATTTCAAGCACAAAATCAGCAAAAGTAATTTTAAACAATGAGACGGGATTATTTACCAAGAGATACATAAGGTCAATAGCTAAGTTGGTTGGCGATGAAAGCCTCTTGTGCGCCTCTCACCACCACCATAAAAAGCTACGTGCTCGCCTCCTTAACTTATTATCCACAAATTCTATTGTTTCCTTGATTCAGTATTTGGATCCACTTATTGTCCACTCGCTTCGAAATTGGGAACGTGCAGGCACGGTGGTTGTACTTGAAGAAACTCTTAAGGTAATTTCTAAGAAGCTTCATTAACTCTATTTTAACTCAAAACTCTCTTGATTGCAAGCAAATAATATATAGACAAAGTATAGGGGTTTGACTCTTTTGGGGGTGAGGCCAAAATATTTTTCTCATGAATTATTTATTCTAACATGGATGACTTAAGATATTTCTTTTGATGATATCAAATTTTCTTATGAGTTTCTTTTAACAAGAGAAAGAGATTTAATTCAATACACAAAATTAATCGAGAATATTCTAATTATTGAACTAAAAAAAATAATTTTTGTTGTTACATGTAATCTATAAAATTAATATTTTTTTGGTATTAATTTTAGATTACGTTCAAAGCAATGTGTAAGATGTTGATAGACTTAGAAAATGAAAAAGAAGTGGATGCATTACTAGAGCAGGTGACACATGTTTGCAAAGCCATGTTGGGATTCCCTCTCAAGTTTCCTGGGACTAGATTCTACCGAGGTCTCCAGGTATCTATTTATTTAAAATATATTCATCAATTTAATACTTTTAAATAAGACTCATTCAATTTCGATAAATTTATTGTTGCTTGAGTGGGTAAGTAATCAAAAAAAAAATTAGTGAACAAGAAGAATAAATGACATGGTAATACATAATAATTTCACTATATAAACATTTATAGAGATTACATGTATACTTCTTTCTCAAACCCTAATTTATGATATAATTAGATCTCATCAAGTTTTGAATAATTTATTTTCAAAAGCAATATATATATATATATATATATATCAATTATATAGGAGAACAAAATTCCAAAAATAACTTTAGTACCGCCATTAACGGTTAACGGTTTTCGCACTAAAAGTTCAGTTTCATTTTAAGAAATATCAAAATTGATTACAATTTTTATACTATAAAATCAAAATACATAGCAACGTGTATTAATATAGAACTTTTAACTTTAAAATAATTGATGATAATCAACTAGTTAATAATATGATACGACTCACATGAATCTTGACTACTGTATTATTTTATTAAATAAACTTTGCACATAATTTAAAATAATAAAGGACATTAATTTTTTTGATATATACTAGTTTAAAATAAATCAAATCTCTCTTAATAAAATTTAAATATACGAACAGTGAGTTAACAGTTATAAAATTCTAAATATTTATATTTTACGGATTAAATTAATTATAATATCTTATAAAATAATAAAAGCACATATCCAGTGCCATATTAATTCTATGTTGTGAAATTTTATAATAATCTGATTGAATCTGCAGGCAAGAGAAAAAATCATGCAGACATTGGACAAGTTGATTGTTGAAAGAAGAAGTTCCATGGGTAGCCATGACGATTTTCTTCAACAGCTTCTAATGGAGAACGATGCAATATCCTCTTCTCGTCATACCCTAAAACTAAGAGATGCTGAGATTAAAGACAATATATTGACCATGATTATTGCAGGTCTGATTATAAATCCTCCCAATTATTAACTAAAAATCATTATCCATTTTGAAATAATTAATTTTGAATGCAGGTCAAGATACCACGGCAAGTGCTCTCACATGGATGGTCAAGTATCTTAGTGAAAACCAAAAAGCTCTAGA